TGAATTATAATTAATAAAGGAAAAGAGTAAATTCCCTTTTTTACTGTTAAAAATAGAAACAAAAGAAATTTAGTGTGAAGAAAAAGTATATAAACGCTTAATTTTTACCTTCAAGCTCTTCACTTTTTTCAATGGATAAAAAAAAAAGGATCTTGAAGAAATAATTTTCTTTTTAAAAAAAATTCTTTTCGTACTAGCACTTTAAACCTCCCTTTTGATTACTTTGAAGAAATCAACAAAAATGAAATTTTCAGCCATCATTCTCTCGAATACAAAAAAGAATACGAAAATAATTTTTACAAAATTTGTCAAAAATTGAATTTAAGAAACCCGTCGATGGCATCATTTATAAGATCAATAGCACTCAAGTTGCAGATGTTGCTTTCCCCAAAGATTGTATTGAAAAATTCGGTAGACACTAAAATTTATTTTAAGTTTTCTTAATACTTGCCAAACGCTTGAAGAGAACGTGGCTTTTTAAGGAAGATTTCTTGAAGACCAAGTAGATAACGTGAATATTCAGTGCGCATTAACTAACTTTGCCTTTTTTGGTCTCCTAACCAAATTTAGATGAACATCAAAGGTAAGCCTTTGCGTCGTAATGATTGGTCAACAACGAACGTGACGCGCTAACCTTTATTTATATAAATATCATTTTGAATATAACCTGTACCTTATTTTTATACAGGCGATGAAGGCGCGAACAGATTTTGGAATGTCCTAAAGGACAAAAATGTTGAACGCGGAGAATTCCTCCAACCGCCTGAGGGCATCCATTTTTTAGGAGATAAAGATGAAGTTTCAATTCTGTACATCCGTAAATGCTACCGCGATTCGGCAAAGATTGCATTTGATAAGAAACGAAAAAAAGACTCCCGTATCAGCGGTAATCCGGATGTCAGAAAGACTTTATTCGGCTATTATCTACTTTATTTACTTTCACAAAAAAAATATAATAACTATATACAATCACCATGCTTTGAAAAGTGTATTTATCTTTGATAAGAATAATGTCTTTTGTACTTCCAGCATAAAAGTTATTGAATTATATCAGAAAAACTCAAATACACGGTATATTATTGATGGCAAGAAACCGGTTAAAGCTAATACCAGAACAATTCTTTTATGTTCGCCTAGAAAGGATATCTATAGAGAATTTGACAAGTTTAGGTTTTTAACAATACGGATCATACCAGTTTTGGAAACGAAAAGAGATTGATGACTGCAGGGATAAAATTTTCATTTATGTTGAAAAAGAAAAAGTTGAAGAATTGATTTTGAGATGGGAGGATTTCCTCAGTTCGTTTTAGAACAGGCTGATAAAGAAGAGCATCAAAAGCAGCTTGATAAAGCGATTAAAAAATGTAACATGGATATATTTAATTATATTGGTGACTCTACAGGTACAGATGTTAGCCACAAGCTCGTACACATCTATACAAATTTCCCATTCACTTATGAAGAGGTTGTAAAGGACGAAAATGAAATGGATTTAGATCTAGTTCAAGTGATATTCATGCTGGATCGAGACGGTGAAGAAACCTGTACAAAAAAAATATAAGGTTTGCCTCCGACTATGTTAATAAAGAAGTGACTGAGAATCTCGAAGAAAATATAAGGAACAAATTTGCGTACTGAAACATTTTTAAGCTTAAAGTCAGGAATTAGTAATTCGTTATTGGGCATATCATTTGAACAGATTGCTCATCAGGTGCTACGAGATGGAGGAATTTTCAAGACTCATTCTTTAGGATTCAATGATATAGAGGAAACCTCACTATTAACAGGCAGAATGACCTTTTTAAAAGTAATATCAGTGTAATCTAAGATGGAAATACTATCAACCAGTGGATAAAAAATTTCCCCCAAATAAACTTTTTCAGATGACAATCGCCAATAACCACCCTATTAAAATGAGCGGTTAGGGTGAATCTGCATCAGATGATATCAAATTTTATTTTGTCATACCACTTTTGCCCAGAATATACATACCACTTTGGATGTTAATCAATATTCTTTAAAAATCGATTTGTAGCTCTATCGACGGTACACCTCTTTCTATGAGAATATTAATATAACAGAAAAATATAATATGGGCGCTTTGCAGTAGAAAGGGAGGAAACTCGCAAAAAAATTTTTTTTACTTTATAAGCTAAATATTATTTTTTTTTTTTAGTAAAATAAATCCAGATTTAACATTAAAACTCAAAAAAAAAAAAATTTTTCCTCCATTTCTACTGCAAAGCGCCCATATGGTTTGTGAAATATGTTGGGTAAGCGTATTAAAATAATTAATTGACTTGTTTATGGGTAATTTGCTCACGGGGCTTTATTTTTTTAACATGTGTGCAGTGTGACCTTATAGCCCATTATCACGTCCAAGATAAATCCGGAATTTTCATCACCGTGGATGACAAGGAAAAAAGTATCATTATTAAATTGATTAGTTAGTCGTATCCATTATAAAATAATAGATTCGTTCTTTTATCGATATATTTTTTTTCTGTTATTTTTTGATTTTCTTCCTTTGCTTTTATAATCTAACCCAAATCTTGAAAAGATCGCAACAATTTTCCAATTCATTTGAAAAAAAGTATATTCATTGGATAAAGTTATAACAGCCAAAATGGGTTAAAAAAAACATCACGAGTCATAACAGATAGCAAATCATTCTGCCTCTATCAAATTTTATTTTTTTAAACGTGTTGAAAACTTTTATTTTCGGCAGTAAAATTTTGCCGATGTCCGAAATTTGTTAGAACGAAAGCTCGGTGATTTTGATTTTTTGATTGGTCTTTAGAAATAAGTTTAACTATAATATTGATGATAAATAATTGTATCTGACCGTAATTCGTATTCCTATTAAATGAACGTACAATTTTAGATTGATGAATAGCTTTTTTTTTTTTGCGTCAGATTAACGAAATCGGATAATTTAGCAACTTCTTTTATGATAATTTAAATTTTTTCAACAAATAAATAAAACAATTAATTAAAAGAGAAAAATCTTTTCCATTTTAGAGTACGACATAAAACTCCTGCCCCTTGAATTTAATTTCAAAAATGTTTGAAGTGTAATATAAATAATCGTACCGTACCAAGTATTACATAATGGTAAGTCCCAAATAGTGTTAAATGGTGTCATATCTAAGTCAGTTTTCCCTATTTTTAGAATGATGATCACTACCTTGTGATAATGTCCAGTAAATTTGACAAATTTGTGATCAAAATAAAATTTCACCGATAATCAAAAAGTTATGGACGAAAACAACAATTTAACAGATGAAGTATTTAATGAATTCTTTTTTTAGAATGAATTAATATAATTCCGAAATGAAAAAAAAAGGCAAAGTATTTTGAAGAGAAAAGGTATATAAACGCTATATTTTCACTTTCAATCCGTTCTTCACTTTTAATAAAGGACAATAAAAAAATCCTTGTTAAAGGATTCATCAAAAAAAAAAAAATTCTTTCACATAACCTTCCTTACCATGATGAGCAAAATGAAATTTTCAGCCACCATTCTTTTGATTGTTGCCCTTTTGGCTTCAATTGGTTTCTCCACTCCATCTGAATACAAAAATGATGAATTTTACAAGTATTGTCAAAACATTGAATTTAAGAAACCTGTTGATGGTATCATTTATATGATTAATAGCACACAAGTTGCGGATTTTGTCGTCCCCAAGGATTGTATGAAAAAATATGGTAATGTTAAAAATCAAAATCTCTCTATTTTTATTTTAAACTTGTTTTTTTTTTTAAAAAAAAAAATTTGTTCTTTTATTTTAATGCGCTTCTTTTTATCGAAAATCAATTTTTAGGTTATTATTTGATGACCACCGTCGAAATTTTCAGTATCGGCGCCAACAAAATCATTGATACCATCGTTGAACAGGAATATGTAAGTAATTGGTTATTGTTATTATTTCTTTAGAATTTCGATAAAATCATTAACTTTAATTTATAAATTATCAAATTTTATCCTAGATATACAATCATCCGACTGTCTTTCTTTACTTGATTGATAAAGTGTGGGCCAATAATGACGCCAAATATTATCTTATCGCCTCTCTTCATTATAAGTATCATCATGTCCAAAGTGAATCTGGAATGTTCATCGCCAAGGATAAAAAGTAATTAGTATTAGTCGTACTTATTTATAGAATAGCTTTTTAATATTAGCTTAACTTCATTAATATTTTATTATCAATTTACATGATTTATCACAAACTTTATTTATTCATAGACGAGTTATTTTATTTTATTTTTATCACGTTGACCTTGATAAAATTTCTTATTAAGATCAAATAAAACTATCAATTATTACAATAATGAAATATCATTTATCATTTTAATAAATATCAATTTACATTCTATATTACCTTTTAATCTTGATTATAAATTTCTTGAATGTCAAAGGTATACATTACTCTGAGTGGCGAAGTCCAATAAGCTGTTCTAAAAATTAAGCATAATTTACTTGGTGTAAATTGTCTTATTTAGACTATATTCGATAAATCTGTTTTAACTTCAAAATTCTTGATATTCAGAGATAGACATTGTTTTTAAATGCACCTTGCCGGCTAATAAATTTTCCTTATTTTTTTAATAATCATCGATTGTTTTTACTGGACGGTGGATTATGAACCTCTATCCAATAATCTAGTCACATGGGTAGTGGATTTGCTTGGGAGGATAGACACTTGTTAGACTGGTATTTGAAATAGAGCTACGTGGATCTTTAGTTATGGTCTGGTGAAGTCTTGTAAGTCGGATAACGCTTATCAGAATCTTTTTAGATAAATTTTTAGCTCATTACTTTAGTATTTTTTTTTATATATATATTTCTTTTGGGTCTAAAATAGTAAAATGAAAATTTTAATGCAAATTAATTTTATTGAAATCATCAAATAATCGGACTAATTTACACATCTGTTACACCAGTTTAAGGTAGGTTAAAGGATTTTCCCGATGGACAATTTCCGATCTTTCGAATAATTTGGCATCCTTAATGTCAAAATGAAATATTGTTTGATCTGCTAAGATTACGAACGCATCCATCTTTTCATTTTCTCAATTTTCTCTTTCTTTCTTTCTTTCTTTCTTTATTCTTTCTTTTTTTCTTTCTTCTCTTTCTTTCTTTCTTTTTTTTTCTTTTATTTTTTTTCCTGCGATAATAAAAGCTAAAAATGTATTAACACGGATCAATTTTTTTTTTATTAAAAATAAATAAATAAATACGTATAACCTCAATATTTCAAAAACCAATCACTCTAACCGATCATAACTGATTAAATCGATGCGCAGCAATTTTGATTGGCCATTTCACGATCGATCAAGTACAAAATATGCACGATATTTAAAAAATAATAAAACTTCAAAATTTTGTGCTCATTGAAATTAGATTTTTAAACAACGCACAACAAATTAACAAATTTTTGAGCATAAATCCTGACAAACATCCAACTATTGATTCGTCCAACGTTAAAAAACAAATCAATCAGATTTGGCAGCATAATCCCAAAGACATTATATCATTCCAAGAACTTTTTTAATTTGTTTGAAATCATAACAAAAACAAAACAAAAAAAAAAAAAAAAGAGAATGCAAGGTTGATTTTAATACTTTTTCAAATTAAAAAAAATATATTTATCAAAACAAAATGACAAATGAAAAATAAACAACCGGGTGTGACACGTGACCTTGCGACGGAATTTCCGACATATAGACTTGGGTAAAAACCTAAATATGTGAACCAATCAGATTTTCAACTGTGTTGTAAGCCATATTTAGGAGTTCATAAAATCGACTATGTTTCAGAAAAGTCACCGAATTGAAAAGTTAATAATAGAAAAATGTGCTATTAATATTCGATAAGTTAATGAATTATATTATTAAAGACTATATGGTTAGACCCACCAATGTCCTTAAAATTTACAAGAGCCGTTTAACACTTACCCAAAATTTACCGAAAAAGGAATAAGATATTTTAATCTCAAACGTTCCCTCAAATGATATTTCTTTTTATATAGATAGATATGTCAATGAAATTCATTTGCTAAGCAACTTTTTGAAACCCGAATATGCAATAGAGTTAATCTGTTTGCTATTGACTCAGGTCTCACAAGCTTATACCACTAAAATTCCAACGTACATTGTTCACATGACTAGTTTGATAACAATCATTGGGGCCATAAACTAAATAGGAACAGTGGCTTGATTATAGCGATAATATTAAAGGAAAGAAAAAAATAAATCTTTGGTGATTGGTAACGAATCGGAATATTTGATCCGATAATCAATCACCCTTTAAAACCAATCGTTTTTCAATTGCTGGCCATGAAGAATACAAATATTCTTGAAGATTAATGGATGAAATACAAGCTTACGTACTTGCAATTCCAGAATGCATTAATTGATAGATTCTATTCATTTTTCTTAACGGAGCCTATAGAGTCGAAAACTTTTTTTTTTTTTCAAGCAACGGTTGTAACCAAATGCGATAAAGCCCTCATCGATTACAAGAAAAGATTATCTAGACATGCATCTGTTTTTTTTTTGTAGGTTATAATCACTTTCTTCATGAGTGTATATCCGTTTAAATTCAATTTCATATCGATTGAACGAGTTAGAACGATTTCATAATTGCATAAAATTAAGAAATTACATTGTAAACTTTAAATTAATTGTTTCATGATTGTTACCTTTTTTATTTTCCTGTCCCAAATATCAACATTTATTCTAATAGGTGCACAACGATGAATGGTTCTTTGTTTCAAAAAAAAAATTTTAAATTTCTTTTTTATCAAAAATTCAAGGTAAAATGGTTTTGTGGGAACCGTTAGTGCGGTCGCACAAATGCTATGCGATTTACAATTTCAATTTATGAGCGCAGCAAAAACCTTTTTATTTTTTTCCGAAAATTCCATAAGGTCAATTAAAAAAGATTTCGATGGAAATTGTAAGATTAATTGGATCTACGAGATACCCTTCTAGATTCTCACATGGAATTTAGAAATTCTGGGAGCCCTTTCCATAATTTAATGGAAATAAGTTACACCTCTTACATATTTTGCATAAATTGTTTCAAGTGCGTTTCAGCTAATCACTTACCTAATTATCAAAAACTAAAAGTGTAAAATAAATGCTATCACTCATTAATATTTAAAAACGATTGGGAATTTCCTGAAATGTGTTCCACAAGAAAGATCGGACCGAAAAAATTTCGATTATATTCGTGTGCGACTTGAGGTAACGTGGAATGCAGCAAAAATTTTCTTGCATTGATGTTTAAGGGGCATTAATTCTTTTTATAGTAAATTAATTTAAGAAAATTTTCGGTTGCATACCAATCGATACAATACGAAACATTGGATTGACAACAACTTTATGAAGAATCAAATTGATGTTTAAAATTAAAAATAGATCAGAGGGGTATGAAGGGAAAAAAAAAAAAAAAGATATTTAAGCAACGCTAAAATTTCACCTTCAGGTTCTTCACTTCTTTCAAAGAATAAAAAAAAAATTAGTAACAAAAAAAGAAAATTAAATCTCTTCAAAAAGATTTTTTTTTTACGAACTTTTTTTTACCTTTTAACTTAACTCACTTTACACTTTTACTCTCAACGAACATGAAATTCTCAACTGTTGCCTTCTTAATTGTTGCCCTTTTGGCCTCAATCGCTTACTCTGCTCCAATGCAAAGATCTTATTACGATGATTTTTATGAAACCTGTAAAGAATCTTCTTTTAAAAGACCCGTTGACGGAATTATTTATAATATTAATAGCACTCAAGTAGCAGATTTCGTAATGGCAAAAGGATGTGTCGCTAAATACGGTAAATATAAAAAATTCTTTCATGATGTAAATAAATCATTTGGATTCTTTTTTTTAAAGATCATCATATTTATTAATTCATCATCCCTTGTATTTTAAACAATACAGCGAAAGGTTCCGCATTAACTGTCGATATTTTCAGCATTGGAGTCGGAAAGTGTGTTGATACCATCGCTGAACAGGAAATGGTAAGTAATCGATCATATCTTTCCGTTATAATTCGTCACATCTGAATCAAAAACTAATCGAAATTGTTTTGAATCTGATTAGTTCGATCATGAACCTACCGTCTATAATTACTTGATCGATAAAGTATGGGCCAACAATGACGCTAAATACTTCCTTATTGGAACTCTTTATCACAAACATTATTCAATCGAGTTCAAGTCTGGAGTTTTCACCGCAATAGATCCCAAGGAAAAGAGTGAATATTATTAAGTCACGTTTATTAAATGTTTAATAGTAATTAATGCATGTTTAGAAAATATTTGTAAAAAAAAAAAAAAAAAAAAAAAAAAAAAGAAATTATTTTCATAAATCAAATCATAACTTTAAAAATCCACTCATTTTTATATTATATATATATTACTTACATTAGTTTAAGAGTATTTTGATAATACTAATAAATTAGAAGACATGTGTACATTTTTGAAGTTTGTTCATTTATTATAAAGCTTTTATCAATAAAATTTTCAAATATAGTAATATTTGAAAAAAAAAAAAAAAAAACTAAAACCCGGTTATAAAATGTACAAAGATGTGTCATGTAACTTTACCGAAGTACGAAACAATAAAATAAATATGACATGTGGTTGTATATAAAGTGTAAAAACACTAATATTGCATATTTATTTGGTAATAATGAATGTTTGTTAACATTCTGCAAAGCGACAATATGTGTTACAATTAAATTGTTTCCTACATACACTATATATACTAAGTTCAAGTTTATCCACCCAATAGAAAAGAGAGACTATATTCTAGGTTTTAGAATTATCGTATAAATTAACCGGCATTTATACATTGTATTAAGTTAAAAATCATTAAAATGTTCGTATTAAAGGATTCATATGATGATGTGTGTGATCTATCAATTTTTTGTTTGTTAAAAGTGGAAGAAGGTTTGTCAGAAGGGGAAATGTAATGATCGAAACATTTTTCTTCATTTAAAAAGAGATCGACCATTGTTATAGATCGAAGCACTAGATTCCTTTTCTCAATTTTCATCATTTAAAAGAGAGGTAACAGGGATTCGACCATCATTTTTGATCGAAGCACTAGATTTCTTTTCTCCAT